GAACAGTTGTGCTGGATTCGCAGCAGCCATGGCTGGTTCTGCAGAGAAGAGGGGAATTTACTTTCCTTTTATTGTTCACAGCAAACAGGCGTTTCCTAGGTATACATTGCCATATGTTACTCTTGGAAGGCTGGTAATTCCTTTTGGTCTGAGTTAGCACCTGGAGGATGCACCATGACAGACTGTGGAATGGCAGTTGGTCCCTGCAATGGCCACTCTGCAGAACAGCTGATTGAAAAACAGCACCTGCCACATCCACCCCCAGCTCCATACAGCGTTTCTTCCCGCCATCGCTGGGTCACTGTGTTGTGGGACTCCAGAGGGACCTAGAGCCTAGCTCATGGCACAGTTCCCTGCAGCAGGTGGTTCTGGGAAAATTTACGAAGTGTTGTGGGCTGCCAGTGGTATTCCAGCCTTTAGAAGGGGGATCCTAGAGTCATGCCCCTCCAACCCAATGACTGGGGAACTGACCATCTTTTTTTCTGCTCAGTCGTTGCCCTTGACTCCTGTCAGTCTGGTTGTTAATGAAGGGGACGCTTGTGTTCAATTTAAAGAAAATGTGATTTACAAGGTACTTGTGCATAAAGAAGCAGGCTGTGACTCACCACCCTAGGAACATTCTAGAGAAGGCCACGGGGAGGGGAGTGGGCACAACATGTGGAGTGGAGAAGTATAGGCATGTGATGAACAAATCCATCTATGGAAAGGTTAAATATGATTGGTTAGAGGTTTGTGTTATGTAACTTGTTATGTAAGTGCCATGTGCTATAAAATAACAATGGGAGGGGCTCCTTGCTGGAGGGATTCTGGCTTATTTTGGTACCAGGGGCTCTCCCTTTGTGCACATTGAATAAAGTCTTGTTGAATTGATTTAAAGTGAATCGAATTGAATTGAATTAAATCAAATTGAATCGAAGACCCTTGATTCTGACCAGCATCTCACTCATTGGGAACCACAAAATCCCAACATTAGCCAGTGTTTAGTACACAGACTACATTGCTAAAGGACCTTCTCCAGATCATGGGTGAAGATCAAGTCAATCACGCTGACTCTTTTACATCTGTCAGACGGCTTTGATATACTGACTATGGTGAATTGTAACTCATAGCGCTACACTCGAGTGGCTTTGTCCTTTTCTTTCTAGGAGGATCCCATAGATAGTGCTTGGCAATGTTCTGTCTGCCCTGAGAACTTTTTCATACAGCCTGCCACAAGCTTCTACTCTTAAGTTAAGGAGAGAGGTCTCTGAGCTGCTCTTCCAACTGTTAAAACAACACAAGCCATTCAAGTTTGCACTTCGTGTTGGGAGGTTTCATTTTGAGGACAGAGCTAATATGATAAGTAAACATTATCGTGCGTGGCAAGAGTTTATGGGCATTATAATTTCATCTAACCTTATCACTGCTAATCTGAAGGCTAAAGTCCATCCCATCCCTATTCTTGGAGAAGGGTGACTCTATAATTTATGGAAATGACAAAAGAGCATTAGGAAATCCTGTGTTCTGATTGGCCATTAGACATCATGTTGTGACATAGATTGGAACCCCACACAGTGTCTTTGGTGCCACAATAAGACACAAGGGGGCCATTTCAGATTTTGGTTCGGGGGTAACTTTAACTGTGATTCCAGGAGCTACTTAGGCACCAGAAAAGGATAGAGGTTTTTTTGCAGATTATTACTTAGAAATTAGCTGACAGGACACTGTGTCTAATTCCTATTAGGGCTGTCAATTAACTGCCATTAACGCCTGTGATTAACGCACAGCACAATTAACGTGTAACTTTTTTTAACGTGCGTTAATCGCAGACCCTCAGGGCGGGAGGGCAGCAGGAGCTGCTCCGAAAAACCTGTCTGGTCAGGTGCAGTAAGACAAGCCGCCACAGGTGGGGGAGGACGGAAAGAGAAGAGGCTAGAGACACTAAGGATTGGTCTACACTACGATTTTAGGTCGAATTTAGCAGCGTTACCTCAATTTAAGCCTGGACCTGTCCACATCTCAAAGCCCTTTTTTCAACTTAAAAGGCTCTTTAAATTGATTTCTTTACTCCACCTCCGATGAGGGGATTAGCGCTGAAATTGGCGTTTCTGGGTCGGATTTGGGGTAGTGTGGATGCAATTCGATGGAATTGGCCTTCGGGAGCTATCCCAGAGTGCTTCATTGAGACTGCTCTGGACAACACTGTCAACTCAGATGCACTGGCCAGGAAAAGGCCCCTGAAATTTTGAATCTCATTTCCTGTTTGCCCAGCGTGGAGAGCACAGGTGAACATGCAGAGCTCATCAACACAGGTAACCATGATGGAGTCCCAGGATCGCAAAAGAGCTCCAGCATGGACAGAACGGGAGGTACGGGATCTGCTCGCCATATGGGGAGATGAATCAGTGCTAGCTGAACTCCATTGCAGTAAATGAAATGCAAAAACATTAGAAAAAGTCTCAAAGGGCATGAAGGACCAAGGCCATAACAGGGATGCACAGCAGTGCTGTGTGAAAATTAAGGAGCTAAGGCAAGCCTACCACAAAACCAGAGAGGCAAACGGAAAGTCCGGGGCAGAGCCGCAGACATCCGCTTCTACACTGAGCGGCATGCCATGCTAGGGGGTGCAGCCACCACTACCCCAACCCTGTGCTTTGACTCTGTCAATGGAGAATCACGCAACACCAAAGTGGGTTTTGGGGACGAGGAAGATGATGATGAAGACATTGAAGATAGCTCACAGCAAGGAAGTGGAGAAACCGGTTTCCCCAACAGCCAGGATATGTTTGTCACCCTGGACCTGGAACCAGTAACCCCCGAACTCACCCAAGACCCTAAGGGCACACAGGGGACCTCTGGTGAATGTACCTTTGTAAATATTACACATGGTTTAAAAGCAAGCGTGTTTAATGATTAATGATTAATTTGCCCTGGCAATCGTGGGCAGTACAGCTACTGGAAAAGTCTGTTAACGTGTATGGGGATGGAGCGGAAATCCTCCAGGGACATCTCCATAAAGCTCTACTTCATGCACTCCCAAAGCCTTTGCAAAAGGTTTCTGGGGAGGGCTGCCTTATTCCGTCCGTCATGGTAGGACACTTTACCATGCCAGGCCAGTAGCACGTAGTCTGGAATCATTGCATAACAAAGCATGGCAGCGTATGATCCCGGTGTTTGCTGGCATGCAGACAACATCCATTCCTTATCGCTCTTTGTTATCCTCAGGATTCATGGTCACCTGGTTGAAATAGAGTGATTTTATTAAGGGGACATTCAGAGGTGCCCGTTCCTGCTCGGCTGAACAGAAATGTCCCCCACTGTTAGCCACGTGGTGGGGGGAGGTGATCATCCCAGAGAATTGTCGGGGGAAGGGGGTTAGTTGGGTTTGTGCTGCACGTTAACCTGGAAACTGCAGCCCCTCCTTTTAAATCGCAAACCCATTTTAAATGGCCAACCCAACGGTCGCTTGGTATGGGAAATGAGGGCGCTGCTGTTTGAAACCATTCCCACATGTTACGAAGGTTAAAAAAGCCAAAAGACTGTGGCTTACCATGGCTGCCTGCAAGCCGAATTCTGTCGCCTGGCACTGCGTGAGTGATCTTTCACACCAAACCGGCAGGCCCTCAATATAAGAGGAAAAATGCGACCTTGTAACGAAAGCACATGTCTTGTGTAATGTGAACAGAAAGATTTAACGTGAAAGAGTGCACCCATTGCTCTCTAAAATGTGTCTTTTTAACTACCACTTCTCCCTTTTCCTCCATCATCTGCAAATGTTTCTCCTTCGCAGAGGCTAGTGAAGATTAGAAGGCGAAAAAGGCGCACTCGGGATGACATGTTCTCGGAGCTCCAGATGTCCTCCCACGCAGACAGAGGACAGCAGAATGTGTGGAGGCAGACAATGTCAAAGTGCAGAAAATCATATAATCATAGAATATCAGGGTTGGAAGGGACCTCAAGAGGTCATCTAGTCCCACCCCCTGCTCAAGCCTGACCTTAAAAACCTCCAGTGAAGTCTCCTCTCTGTTAGCAGACTGTCTTCAGGGCAAGAAGCTCACACGGCTTCACCTTCCTGGGTCTGACCTCGGAGCATTCAGCATATGCCCCTCCGGGCGCTTCCCACAGCGAGTCCGCCCAGGCGGGGTCCAGGGGAAGCCAAAGGGTCCTGCACCGCCACTTCGCAGTCAGACGTGACTCTAAGCCAGCCAGTAAAACAGAGGTTTATTAGATGACAGGAACACGGTCTAAAAGAGAGCTTGTAGGTACAGGAAACAGGACCCCTCAGCCGGGTCCATTTTGGGGGCAGTGAGCTAGACAACCCCGTCTGCCCTCACTCCACATCCTCAGCCAGCCCCAAACTGACTCACTCTCCTCTGGGCTTTGTCCCTTTCCCGGCCAGGAGGTCACCTGATTCCTTTGTTCTCCAACACCTTTCGCGGGAAGGAGATAGAGTGTTGGCCATTTATGTGCAATGGCCCTTTGCTTGTGTCATAGAAATTTCTGTCCGTTCCAGCTGAGGAATAAGGAGAGACGGACACAGCTAATCAAGCAAGGAGCCCCGGGAGGGGTGATCCATTTATTTCAATTGCAATTGGGTTCGAACTCATAAGTCAGCAAGAACAAAGAAAACACTTACACCAAAGCATTATATGCAGTTGCTTATGATAATCTATCGCTCTATGATTGGCCAAAATTTGCCATCATTACCATACATAATTAGCAAGCTACATGCATCTTCCCCTCTTGTGACCCCTTATTGTTCATCTATTTGCTACCTCCTCCTTGCTTATTTTGCAAACCAAGCAGTTTATCTACAGGATGGAGGCACAGAAAGGTCCATTGTCTCCAGGTTTGGAGTTCGGCTACATTTCCACTTGAAGGAACTTCCTGAGGTAAGACAACCTATAGCTGATGTTTTCCCTTCTTCTTTCTCCCATGTGTACGTGACAAATTTGCCCCCTGGCAGTTAAGCAGAATAATTTTATATCACTCGGCAACAATCTCACCCCCTTATCCCACCACCTAGCGACTTAAGAAATGCATAGGGGAAACTGAGGCACCCCTACAGTATTCAGAGGAAACATTAAGAACAGTCCCACTTCATCACAGCCTCACAAAGACCTCCACAGCCATAGAGCTATGGGTAGAGCATCACCCCCCTTCAGCCCTGTCTCTGCTGGGGGGAGACTGGCTGAGTCCTCCAGGTCATAGAGATCAGGAGGGTGGGAGCTCGAGGAGCCGCACACTAGCCTGACCCTGCCAGTGATGGACAATAGTGCTAAGCCGGAAGAATGGGCGGATTCTGTCTCCGGCAAAAGAGGCCGGTGGGAAAGTGACGATCAGGTCCCCACTACCAGCATCGAAAAGCTGCACTCGGCCCCCTTCATAGTCCAGATAAACCCGGATCCTGCGGGGTGCCTGGCTTGGGGACAAGGGAATGACCTGCATAGGGGACGTGGGAGCCTGGTACTGATCCTCCCAGACCTGCACAGCCCAGATCCCCTGCTCAGGTTTAGGGCAGATCTGTCCCTTCCTGCTCACAGACTCTCTGGTCACCCCAACAAAACAGAACCCCTTCCCCTCCACCTTCACCTCCATCTCCCAGTAATGTCGGCCTGAGGTGAATCCCTCACAGCCCAGCACACAGCACATAGTGTCAAATCTCTCAGGGTTGTTGGGCAGAGCTTGCATTACGCCTCCATATTTCACACTTCTCCGATCCTTAGACACGATGAGTTCGGGATGGGCCGTGTTCAGATCCAGAGTCACGTTCGCTGCAGAGAGAGAATCAGAGCGTGAGGGGCAGAGCTCAGCCCTGGGGCAGGGTCTGATCGTGTCAGTGACAGAACCTGCCCCAGCTGGGGAGTGAACCAGGCAACCTCCTGCCTCCAGGATTTACCCAGCTCTGCCTGGGGAGCAGTGCTGAGATCTCAGCCATGTGCCGGGGGATTCACACCCCGACAGAGCCAGTTCAGGGACAGAGTGAAAGGATCAGCTCCGCTGAGCCAGGCCCCGAGACCCAGAGTCTGAGTCTCAGTGATTCCATCCTTGTGCTTGGGGGAAAGACAAGGGGGGTTAGAGGGAGGTGGGTTTAAGCCACTTTGTCCTTCCTTTAGTCTCCCTGGCCCCTAGTTCCAGGGGCCTCAGGGCTGCAAAGCAGAGAGCAGCCAGAGTGTGATGCCTCCTGTCTGTGCCCCCAGCAGAGCCGTCCCTTCGGGAGGGCGAATCGGGGCGACCGCTCCGGGCCCTGCGCTTTGCGGGGCCCCGCGGGATTGAGCGATTGGCCGGTGCGATCGGTCCCAGAAGAGATGAATCCGTCACTTCCGCCGCGGACCCCCCTACGGACAGTCGTGTCCACCAGCATGGCCCCAACCCACTCCTACAATAACGGCTGGGAGCAGAGTTGCTGAGGAGCCCCTGTGCCAACTTCACATGGATGGGGGGAGGGGGCTCCCTGGCACCGGAGCTATTTTCTGGGCACTGTTTCCAGGCACATTAAGGCCCCTTTGCTCTGACAGAGCAGCATAAAAGGGCCTGACAATCAGGCCCTGGAATCTTTCCCCACCTGCACCCACCTCTCCCCACAGATGTGATTAGAGACCCTGGTATCATAGGAGGCTCCCAGCAGATTACAAGGAATCCAACGTCCCCCTGTCCCATGATGTGACTCTGCACACCCAGTCTCCTTGCAGAGCCCCCCCCCCAAGATCAGCCAGCTGAGCACTAGGGAAACTGCTTTTACAGAGACCCCCCTGGCCCCCCAGGACTGTGTGTAGCTGCGGGGGGGGGGAGGACACCGCACACTTACTGAACGGCTGCTCGGCTTGTGCTGGTCTATCGGGGACTTTCCAAACTCCACACTGCTGGCCCCAGGGCTATGCAATGGCTAATACAGTATTGCCGACTTCAAGGGATCAAATCTCATGGATTGGCTCAACAATCATGACATGTTTAAAGGATTCTATTGTGGTTTCTAGGTCAGTCTCTGGATGTTTGAACTCCCCTGGCCCCTCCCCAGGGTGTGCGCATGTGACAATCAGTGTTGCCCACTCACCCACATGTCCTGGGGAAGGTGATTTTGGCTCCTGCTGCAGGAGCTCTCACCCCCACATCTGCCCATCTCCTGCCCAGCAATTAATCCTGTTCCCCCAGCCCCCATCAGTTCTGTTCCCATCCAACCCCCCGCAATTCAGTCCCCCAGCCCCCATCATCACCCCCCATCAGTTCAGCACCCCTACCCCACCGCCCTCAGTTCACACTCCCAGCACTCACCCTATCTGCTCAGAACCCACCATCAATACAGCCCCCCCATTCCTTCAGCCCCCCGCTCACTTCAGCTCCCCCTGCAGCTCTCAGGACATAATAAATAATAATAAAGCCCTCCCAGCCTCACCTCTGCTTCTCCTGGGTTTCTTCACCCTCCCTAGGCCTGGGGGCTACAGTGGGGTCCCCTCTCCCACTTCTCAGGCTGGCAGGGGAGCAGCTGCACTGGGGTGGTGACAGCGGGAGCCCCAGCTGCGCCCAGGGCAGCTGACAGGATTTCTAAGTAAAATTAAGTCTCATTTTTAGGACTCTCAAATGTCGGGATTTTTTTTCAGCCACAGCTGAGAGTTCTATAGCGAGATCATGAGTGAGGCTTAATTTTACTCAGAAATCGCATCTCGCACACTCAATTTGTGAGAGTTGACATGTCTGCGAATAGGTGATGTCTACCTAACCCCTTCTGACATTTTTAACATTTTTTCTTTTGACTTATAAAGTAGAGAGAGAAAACAGAAATGTCTATATTTGTATGTTGAATTTTCCAATTCTTCACTGTACCACTTGTGCATTTGCTAATAATAATAATATTGCCAGGGGACGTGATGTATGGGCATAAAGAGTTCTGAAAATGAGGTGAGATGTTCCTCTCTGATTTGCCAAAAGGCTCATTTTTAAACTCTTAGATCTCTACAGAGATACACTGCTCGCCCCCTCTCCCGCACCCCAGCCCATCTGCTTAACCCAACCAGTAGTTACAAATTCTAAATTCTAAGAGAGAAAAGAATTGACTTTTCTGTTTTTAAGGAAGATCTGGGCAGCCACCAGTAATATGTTGCTCAGCTCCTGTCAAATGCAAAATTGAAACAAAACCTGAACTATGGTGCTGCCAATGAGCCACCATAATTCATAGAAAAGTTTTCACTCACCCTTTGATCCGAGAATGTTACTTTTGTCCATCTGCTGGCTAGATGACAGTGAGTCTACAGGAAGAAATGAGTGAAAAAGATTAAATGTCAAATACAAGTTATTGGGCTGAATACAGGAATAGCTCAGTGAAATTTAAGGACCTGTGATCCCCCATTTCAAAGATAATTTATGTTCTTATGTAGCTGTTGGATACATACAATGGTCAGTCCACTAGCACAGGGGTTCTCAGCTTACAAGACTAGTGTTTGTCCACTCCACACTGGGGGAGCAGCAAACTACTGAATGAAATTGCACTGCCCAGGGAGCGTTGAGCAGTGTGAGTCGGTGCAGTTCTGGGGGGCAGGGCTGGAGTTGGGGGGAACTGGCTGGTGCCTTTCTATTGCTGGTCCATCAATGGCTGGGAGAGGATTCATGTAACACAGCTGGGCGTGTCCCTGCCCGTAGGTGTCTGTGTCAGCGCAGGGCCTGTCAGGCTTGTAGCTTGACATCAGCGTCACGGGGTGAGAGGCAGCCCAGGTTGGGAATTTGGAGGGCTCAGAAGTCCCACAGTCCAGGTTGCGCCCCGGGAACCCGTCACACTGATGTAAATCTCCCTTGTGGCAAATTAAACCGATTACTTCTTGTTCTGCCCTCAGGGGACTTGAAGACCAACTGATCAGTGCTCTCTGTAGAACAGCCTCAGACATATTTGAAGACTGTTCTCAGGCCCTCCCTGAGTAGGGTGACCAGATCACACAGGTGAAATATCGGGATGCGGGGGGACGGGGAGACAGAGGAACAACAAAAAAAAGCCGGCGGTGAAAAAAAATAAAAAAGGAAAAAAAAAACGGCCACCAGAGCTCCACGCCCCACCCCAGCATGCCTCCGCTCCATCTCCACATCCCCCCTCCCTCCAGTGAAAAAAACCAAAACGGCCACCGGAGCTCCACGACCCCCCCCCGCACCAGCTTGCCTCCGCTCCGTCACCACCTCCCCCCTCCCTCCAGCACTTGCGCCGCCATACAGCTGATCAGCGCAAGCCTGGGAGGGAGGGGGGAGGATGCTTGGGGAAGAGGCGGGGCCAGGGCGGGGATTTGGGGAGGGATCCAATGGGGCAGTGAGGGGGTGGGGCTGGGAGCAGGGTCAGGGTGGGGATTTGGGAAGGGATCCAATGGGGGAAGGAGAGGGTGGAGTCGGGGCGGGGCCCTGTGAGCGGAGGCAAAATATCGGGACAATTCGCGAAGGTAGGTCGGGACGCGGGACAAATAAGCAAATATTGGGACAGCCCGATAAAATCGGGATGTCTGGTCATCCTATCCCTGAGTCTTCTCTTCTCTAGACTAAACACACCAATTTATTTCTACCTTTCCTCACAGCTCATCCATTCTAAACCTCCGATCAGTTTTGTTGCTCTCCTTTGAACTCTCTCCAATTTTTCCACATCTTTCTTACAGTGCGGTGCCCAAAACTGGACACAGGATTCCAGCTGAGGCCTCACCGTGGAAAGAAGGGTGGAATAACGTCCTCCTGTGTCTGACATTGACACTCCTGTTAATACATCTGTGGTGAGGTGTTCACCCCACATTAGCCCCCGAAAGGGAGTGAAGGAAGCTGAGAAAGAGGAGATTAGTGAGACAGGCCACACATGAGCGGTTTAGGCCAGAGAAGTAACCCGATTGGATGATGAAGCTCAGCTGAACAGGTGTGGGCTGGGCTAGCATAAAGCCAGGAAGCTGGCAACAGAAATTGGCTGCAGTGAGGAAGTCTGCAGCCACCCTCTGTGCATTCAAAAGGGAAAGAGGGAACCTAGGAAAAGAATAGCATGCGAGGAGCGTGGCCCTGAGGGAAGGGAGTACTTAGAATCATGGGGCTAGAAGGGACTGCAAGGGTCATCTAGTCTAACCCCTTGTAAGAGAGCAGGGTGGAGAAGAAAGCCTATGGGAGGTGAGTAGGAGCAGCCCAAAACTCCCCCAAAAGACCTTGAGGACAATATTTTGCCACTGACAACTGATTATTAGCACACTGTCATTAACTTGTTCCAGCCCAGAACCATTTTTTGAACGCTAATAGGAACCAGGAATACACAGTTCCGAAGTGGCAAAGGGATAAAATTTATACATACAGCACATTACCTTGAGGACAATAGTTTAGGATTAAGAATTGATTAGTAGCACGCTTTTGTTAACTTATTCCAGCCCAGAACCAATTTTTAACACGAATAGGGACCTGGAACAATCAATTCTGAAGTGGCATGGATATAGAAAATTATTACATATTGTACATAGAGATGAGAATACGTAATGCTAATGAAAAACCTATGTAATTTATCTTTTATGGGGCATTCCAGGTACTAATTAGCTTTATTACTAAAGACGCACAGAACACATGTTCCAAAGAGACACAGAAATGACATTCTGATAAATAAAATTGTTGTCAACAAGAGCAATACACTGTGGCAGACACTTAAGAACAACATTTTAGTAATGGAAACAGACTAATAAAACATTGCTATTCACCTGATCTGGCCCAGAACCTCTTTTTTAATGCCTGTGCATTGTCTAACTGGCCCCAGGAGGCTGGATCCAACACGTGGGATGATTCTCTCCGGCCCCGATGTAGAACAAAATGGTGTCCTCCGCACAGCAGGACCTCGCACACAGTGCATGCGAGATCATGTTTACACCGCATGGAGGACGCCATTTTGGACTGCCTAAGGCATGCAGATGAGTTGTTGCATTCCTTACTGAAACTCTCACGGCATGCGACTGTACATGTCATACAACTAACTGAGCACAACACTACAGAAAACCTTTGCTGAAGCCACCTTTAGGGGCCCCTTCCAAGCTCCAACTAGCTTCATAAATAAAACTGCCCAGAACACTCGGTTCCAGAGACACAGGGAACAAAAATATGCCAGAAACACATCTTAATAAATACAATTGTTGAAAAACCAGTGGAGACTGTTACAGACACTTCAGAACAATCATTTAATAATGAGAACTGACTAATTACACACTGTTATTAACCGTTTCTAACTCAGAACCTTTTATTTGAACACAAAAAAGGACCTGGAACACACGGTCCCAAAAGCGCTCGAGGACCTAAGTGATACACATAATACAACTCACTGAGAATAATGCAATAATACAGAAAACCTCTTCCAAACCCACCTGCAAGTGATGGTTTCAGGCAATAAATGGCTGTATCAGTAAATCCGTCCAGGACACTCAGTTCGGAGGCAGCAGAGGGGACAGAAATGATACTCACAATACAACTGAGAATAATGCTGTACTACAGAACACCGCTGACAACCCACCTGTTCAACAAACAGCTTTATTCATAAACCACCCACAGACTCAGCTCCGAAGTGGCTCACGGGACCAAAATAAAGGGCAATGGCTGGAACGGCATTTTAATAAATAAAACGGATTTAAAACACCTCAGAGGAAACAGTCAGACAACACTGGGAGTGTTACTGTAGTCATGAGAACTGATTCACAGCTGACTGTCATTAACCCATTCCAGCCCAGAACCACTTTAAAACCAAGGAGGAGCCTGAACCGTCGGTTCTGAAGTGGCTCAGGGGACCAGTTTTACATACAGCACATACAGGGGAGACTGATACAATGCTAATGAGAAACTCGTCTGAACCAACCTTTAACTTGGGTTTTCGGGGCATAATTCGCTTTATTACTAAAACCACCCAGATCACTTGGTTCCAAAGTGGCCCAGGGGACAAAAATGCTGCATGTCACACAGGTGAGAGCAGCACAGTACTGCTGAAAAAACCAGCCAAACCAGCCTTTCACTGCCTGCTCTGTGCAATGAAGGGTTAATTATTAATAAACACTCTGTTCCGAAGTGGCCCAGAGGATGGCAATGAGTTGTTTGCCTCCTACTGCCTGGCTCTGGGGAAAAACTCTGAGTCTCTTTGCAGGTGATTTGCTGCCTCTTTCTGTGTACCTCTTTTTAAGCCCCAAAGCTTGTCTCACCAACAGAAGTTGTAAAAAACTTGCATCTGAAGCCAAGTGAGGTTCTTACCCACGAAAGCTTATGCTCCCAACACTTATGTTAGTCTTAAAGGTGCCACAGGACCCTCTGTTGCTTTTTACAGATTCAGACTAACATGGCTACCCCTCTGATACTTGACAACAGAAGTTGGTCCAATCAAGAGATTACCTCCTCCACCTTGTCTCTCTGCCCCCTGTAAGTCCATTTCCTTCCTCTGATCTCACTCTTCCCTCACTGAGCACTTTCAGTGCTCGCTCATAGACCAGCTCAGATGTTACCACAGAAATGGGGCCAGGGAGCAGGCAGTGAGGGCAGGACTGGCTCCAGGCACCAGCGAAGGACGCAGGTGTCTGGGGCAGCCAATAGAAAGGGGCAACAGTCCTTCAGTTGTTGGGGCGGCACATCCGGGTCGGTGGCAATGGCACTTCGGCGGCAGCTCAGTTGGTCTGCTTCAGTCTTCGGCGGCAATTCGGTGGCAGGTCCTTCATTCCCTGTCTTCCTCTTCGGCGGCAGCTCAATTGGGTTTTTCTTTCTTTTTTTTTTTCCGCTGCTTGGGTCGGCAAAAAAGCTGGAGCCGGCCATCAGTGAGGGGGACAGGGTGGGTATTCCATGGGGGTGAATACTCGCTTTCTTGCTGCTTCAGAACGCATGTACCTGTGGGGACACCTGTTTTCACCCCATTTTCACCTCTGTTCCTCTGCAGTTTGGAACCTTGACCTTCGCCCGGCACGTAGCTCTCAGTCGGTGTCAAGGATGCACAGAGCTGCTTAGAAGGTGTGGAAATCCCATTTGTACAGTTGCATGGCACATAAATAGGTTCAGAATAGGCAAGTAATCTCCTAGGTCCCTAGCATTGTTGCCAATCACTGAGCTGGGAGTGTGTGTTACTTAAATGCAATACATTATTCTACTTTAATCATCCCACTCTATCATCCATTGCCTCTCGACAATTGTCCAGTTGGTGTGTTACCCAATGTTCTTTCAACCCAAAGCTCTTGGTAACTTTTACTCTGAGCAAGGTGATGTCAGGAAATAAATCAGGGGAGACACGGCCATCTGACCGATAGATGGTTGGCAAAAACAGGACAACACAAGAGTGCTTTCACTTAGAGCTAAACTTTACTTAGTCTCAAGCACTTACACACGCCCAACCCTCAATAATTATCAAAGCTGAGTGTGGCTCTGAAGTGACACAGCGGCAGGCTTCCGGGGGCCAAATCTTCCGTCTGCTGGTGGGGGCCGCAAGACGTATCCAGAGGGAGAGTCCAGAAGAGTCCAACTACCTCAAACTTTCCCCCCTTATTTATACATTAGTATTAGGATGTCATGTCCCTTAAAGAAAACTTGTGAAGTGAGCAGTTTCAATGGTGAAGCAAGAGGTTCCTTCTGATTACTGAGTAACGAGGTGTGGGGTTTTCAAGAGTTTGCAGCCTTAAGGTGCTAATAAACATTCCTGGGGCACATTCTGCTCTTCTAAAATGCCTGTATCAGCAACTTCAAACACAATTCTTAGCAGGAAGGACGCGGGGTCAAGCTGCCCTTTCTGTGGCACCCAAAACCCCTTCTCCTCCTGCCTTGGTCTAGCTGAGGCTGCGACATGGCCAATTTACGGCCTGATGACTTGGCTGCTTTTAGCAATAAGCCATAGTGGTTTCAGGCACTTTACTGGTTTGCTGACATCTCCCCGTACAGGTGGTGTGTCTCACCCGTAACTCAAATCTGATTTGCCCAAAGCTTTGCAGAAGATTTAATAAAACTTAAAGTTCACAGGTGCACAAATACAATAAAATAGATTGTTTAGTCTGTTTTTTCACCAGTGTGTGTGGTTTAGTTTATATGTATAAATTGGGACCACTTTCACTGCAAGAAGCACTGGACATTTTAAGAAATCCTATAAAAGAGAAAATATCGACTCTCCCAGCTTCTAAGCCAAAAAATGGACAGATGGTTGCATACAGTTATGAAGGGCAAAAGGACAAAAAAGATGACCGGAGGTTTGATCAATACAAATGGATCCACAGAGGAACACATCTTTTCCCAAAGGGGGGAGCCTCTGGTAAGGAAGAGATATTTCCGAAGACTGATTGATACAAATGAAGTTTTGTGTCACAGATACAGATACGAAGTTCTTGATGGAAATGTGGACAAAGTGATTGTTCATTATTTGGGACAAAATGAAGCACCTGACCCATGTGTGCCCTATAGGAATAGGAGAAAATATCCCTTGATATCTCATGGTCGTACATTGCCATCTGAACTGTCAAAAGTTGTGGCTCACAAAACATTTAGGCCTCTCTAAAAATTACCAGTGACAAATAACAGACTCTAATGTCTCAGCTGCATGTATGAGAGCGACTCTTCTCAAAAATACACAAGAAATAAAAAATACTGTATGAAAAACAGAAAAGCAGAATCAGTCCCAATGCTTAGTGATGTGTATGACCTTCACTGTCCCCTGGAAGGGTTTGTGTGTCAGTACTGCCGGGTCCCTGAAATCTCTGCAAGTTGGGATCTTCCAGAAGTTATTGATATTTTTTAAGAGGTGAGAATATTGAAGCCAACTACACTTGTTCGTATGCCACGTTTCAGCCAGGAGTCTTTTTCTCTCCCCCTTCATGTGCCTTTTTTCAGGAAAATCCACAATTCCTGTGTCTACACTGACTCATGACAAGTGCACAAAATTCCCTGATGCCCTACGCAGCTGTGTACTTTGCGTATGGGTACGGCCGGCCCTGAGTGCATAACACATGCACACAACATGCTTTTTCATGTCTAGCAGAATCTATGACCCAGGTCAGCAGCAGTTCCATTGTAATAGTACTGGGCTATAGGTATAAATTTCAGCCCCTGGGCAATTCAGAACTGACTTTTCTGGGTCCTTATTGGTGTTAAAAATGGTTTCGGGCCGGAACAGGTTAATAACAGTGTGTTATAAGTCTGTTCTCATTGCTAAAGTATTGTTCGTAAGGGGATCTAACCGTACCTGCTGGTTTTTGCCATAATTTCTTTTATTAAAATGCCGTTCCTGGCCATTCCAGCTTTTACACCGTCCCGTGATTTCTTACCTTGTAATCCTCGGCAGCCTCCCCTAAGGGAACTGCAGGGTGTTCTCTGCGATCTTGGGACAGGTGGCAAACCAAACAAATGGGTGTTTGATCCTCTTGGCAGAAGACTTTTAAATCCTCGTTGTGTTTTTCACACACTCTCCCAACTTCTGGTTCTTTTGCTGACTCCAGTGTATGACTTCTGGAAGCTTCTACGATATTCCTCAGCTGTCTGCTTGGTTTGAAGTTTCTCTGGGAAAAGGTTTCTCTGCACTCAGGAAAGGGGAAGTGATGCAGGCCTGGCAGAAATGGTGCCCACAATCTAGAGACACTGGGTCTTTAAAATAATCCAGACACACCGAACAAGTCACTTCACCTAGGAGCAGTCGTGCTGGATTCGCAGCAGACCTGGCTGGTTCTGCAGAGAAGAGAGGAATTTAGTTTCCTTTTATTGTTCTCCGAAATGGGCTGATTCTGAACTTTGCACCCAAACAGGCCTTTCCTACGTGTACATTGTTACTCTTGGGAGGCTGGAAACTCCTTCTGGTCTGAGTTAGCCCCTGGAGGAAGCACCAGGACAGACTGTGGAGTGGCAGCACCTGACGCTGTTGGTCCCTGCAATGGTGCAGCCTGGCCACTCTGCAGAACAGCTGATTGAAAACAGCCCCTGCCACACCCACACCCAGCTCCATACAGCGTTTCTTCCCGCCATCGCTGGGTCACTGTGTTGTGGGACTCCAGAGGGACCTACAGCCTAGCTCATGGCACAGCTCTCTGCAGCAGCTGGTTCTGGGAACATTTACAAAGTGTTGTGGGCTGCCAGTGGTATTCCAGCCTTTAGAAGGGGGATCCTAGAGTCATGCCCCTCCCCCTCAACCCAATGACTGGGGCAGTGACCATCTTTTTTTCTGCTCAGTGTTTGCTCTTTGTGGTTGATACAATAATTTCTAAATATCGTCTTCCCCGCCAGGTTCCCACAGGTCAGCAGGGGATAGACACCTGGTCTGCGACTGTGGAAGAGGGGAAACAGGTGGGTGGAACAATGGGGGCCGGAGTCACTGCCTGATTCTCACCAACTACAGCATGAAAACATGTTGATATCTTGTTCCAAGGGCTTTGCAGGAGGCACAGCTGGGCTTCTTAGCCTTCATCTAACTTCTGCCAAGTCCTGGTCGACAAAGCTATTCCAAGTGACAAAAAGGCCTGGTGGATCTGTGTTGCTCCCAGTGACGTATACAATCAAGTAGTTTTCCCGGTGAGGGGGTTTTAGCCCATTAGACATCACATTGTGACCTACATTGCAACCCCACGCAGTGTCTTTTGTGACCACTGTACTACATTTATGAAAGGTTTATGTATGATTGTGTCTTCCTCTATGGGGGAGGGTCCCA